ATAGATAGATAGATAGATATACCATTTACAGAAGCACACCCTGCACAAAAATACCAAAGCAATGAGATCAATGTAAGCATTTAACTCAGATTTTTCATTCATTGTCGTTAATTTATCCAGGTGAAAAGTCTTGAGATCTAAATCTCATTTCCAAGAGAGACCTGGACAGCAGGGCAGCAAAAGTTATAACAAATACATAGTGTTTTTTCTTTGGAGTGTTAATACCGAACTCCACCAGGTTCTGCATCCATCTCCAAATGAGCACTTTGCTTTCTGTTGCACTTCAGTCAGGGCAAATCACCAAACTGTAACGAGAGAGCAGGTGCAAAATGTGTTTGTAAAACATACTCTAGTAATATTCCAGATACACATACACACATAACAATTTATATTCCATTATGAGTCTTGCTTCTGTGCATTTCAAATATTTGGCCTGCATATTTCCCACTGGTACGGTGGCTCTAATTTTGTAGTCAGCAAGAAGGTAAAGGCAACTGAAAAGTCAGGAAAGAAACATTTAAGTTTCTTGTCATTTCCAGCACATTATTTGAACATTTATTTTTAACTAATGCCAGTGGCCTTCTGCTTAATTTAAAACAAGGACAGGTTGTTTGGTGGTTTTGCTTCCTTTGGGTCCCTGCATCTTGTTTTACTTTTTAACAAAGTCGTCGCTCGATGTGCGATTAGAAGTGGCAGCGGTTCTCTGAAGGCAGAGCATGCAGCGGGAGAGAGGAAAAAACCCCAATGATATCACTCTTTTTAAGACCCATCTGTTTAGCTGTCATTTGGTGACCTAGTAAAGAGGTGGAGTCACATTATGAAACATGAAACACAGCAGTGAAAGAACTGAGCTGGAAGTTTAGTTCAGAGAGATAAAACGAGTGTTTACCAGTGTTTCAGGATCTTCAGTGCTCCACAATATTAAAATAAATCTTTATTATCATTATTATTATTATTATTATTATCCTTAATCTAACTGTAATTTTTTTTGTGCGTGTGTGTGGCCATGAGCAGTTGATGACCAAACACCCATCCAAACGTCTGGGCTGTGGCGCTGAGGGAGAGAGGGACATCAGAGAACACGCCTTCTTCAGACGCATCGATTGGGAACGTCTCGAGAACAGAGAGATACAGCCCCCCTTTAAGCCTAAAGTGGTAAGTCTTAAAGCACACATAGGCTACATGTATGGAATTACTGTAACCAAGGTTAAGATAATTGGTAGCTTTCCGAGATAACTTTAACTGTCATTAAAATAAGGCCGGCAGCGTTTATCTGTCACAGAGATAATACTGACTCTGTTTACATATGTGTGCATGGTGCAAAGTGCAATACAGCAAATAGTGACATGAGTGATGTTTTTCTTTCCTCTGCAGACATAAACTAAAATGTAAACTCTCTACAGTGACATAAACAATCATTTTAAGTATGCTGGTCATCAGTATTTCATTCTACTCACTGCACACAGCACTGCAGTTTGCATCATGCACCACAATGGAAAAATTAGAACCCCTTTTCTTTTATCATACAGTGGGGCAAAAAAGTATTTAGTCAGCCACCGATTGTGCAAGTTCCCCCACCTAAAATGATGACAGAGGTCAGTAATTTGCACCAGAGGTACACACAACATTATTATTAATTCATAATAAAAAGTGGCTTCAGGTGATCTCCTCTCGGTCTTAAGCACATGTAAACGCATGCAAACAAGACAAGTAGATAAATACAACCTTGTGAACTGCATATATCTATAAAGAACAGATGTGCTTATCTCAACATGACAAATCTGTTATGGCAAGGCATCTAATAGCCCTCTGCTGTGTTCTCTACTCCCTGGGGGACTATCTGTTCTTGGCTGTTTGTTTACGAACTTCTGTCTCAGCCTTCAGTCAGATTTGTCTCAATACGCACAAAAACTCAAGAGTTACTGGTTAAAACTTATTAGATTACTGTACACAACCAGAGTAATGCATCTTCACGATGCCTCATACTTTATATCTATTGGCTGATTGCTGTATGAATTTATATGTTCACAAATTTTGTCTTAGATTTGCAGTATTCAGACGTTCATTACTTGGTGTTTTTCAAATGGTGGATAATGTCAGAAAATAATCTAGACAAAGTTATATTTTATGAAGTATTAAACACCCAAATATAGGAGATCCAGCGACGCTAAATGAGATTTATATATAAGTTTATCTGTGGATCAAAAACTATATAGACACAAGTACAGACAAAGCAATTTCAGATTATCCTTATCTATGCAAGCCACACAGTGTGCTTACTTTCCTAAGGGGTTCATTAGCATTTGATCCATTCTCTTTTAAAGCTCTACAAAGGCCCTCCAAACAGTATTTCTTGATTGTGTTATAAAACGCACCATAAAGATTTTCTTCACCCAAAAAATTAACATCATGTCACATGACATGAGTTAATGTTTATTTAAGCATTTTGTAAAGTTTATATTAAACAGATTCATTCCTGTGAAGGAGAAATGACGGAAAACTCCCAGATGACCCCTCCTTTCTGGTCTTTCCCCATCTGCTTTATTTATCCACACACACACGCACACACACTCTCCACCAGCCATTCTGTCATGTTGTGTTTGGCTCTTTAGCAGCCAGATATCAAAAACTCTTTGACCAACTTGGTTAAAAGTATACCTGGGAGTATACCTTGGGAGTTTGTTCAGAGAATTACAAATTCAGCTGCCTCCTTGGCTGCTGAATTTGCAAGAGGGCATATGATGACAATGTTTTAATTAGTTGTCATGCACCTTTTAAAACCGCCAACGAAATGCCCTCTGGTATTTCGAAAACCATATCACCATTAAGAAGTAAATGGCCTGTATTTGTATAGCGCTTTACTTAGTCCCTATGGACCCCAAAGCACATACACTACATTCAGTCATCCACCCATTCACACACTGGTGATGGCAAGCTACACTGTAGCCACAGCTGCCCTGGGGCGTACTGACAGAGGTGAAGCTGCCAGACACTGCCCCCAGGCCCTCTGACCACCACCAGTAGGCAACGGGTGAAGTGTCTTGCCCAAGGACACAACGACAGAGACTGTCGGAGCCGGGGCTTAAACCGGCAACCTTCCAATTACAAGACGAACTGCCAACTCTTGAGCCACAATCGCCCCTAAATTAAGCATAAGTGCTATAGCACCTTGTGAAAAAGATGACAAGCAAGTCAGTGTGACTGCTTCCTGCCTCACAGCTTACTTTAAGTCTCAGAGGCACGAATCGGCATAGTTACAACAGGTAAGTTGGAAAACATCGTTTATTCAGGTAAATCCATCACTGAAGAGGAGTACTGTTTACACAACATTGTGATGTCATGGTGTTCTCACTTATTTGCTCTGTCTGTTAATGTGTGCAAAAGTGAGCATTAGGATCTGACTGTGATACAGTCTCACTTTAATACACATTAATACTTGTCATTATCCTTGCCTCTGGTGGAAGATTTACTTTATTGCAACAATTTTTTTTTCCATCAGTAAAAGATTTGATTAAATGCAGTTACTTACTGCACGCTCTTGTATTCTTATATAACTCAGCAGATATTGCATGATCACAACACATTCACACATCAACAACAAGGAGAGTGCGAGCACATATGTACGAGATGTGTTGTTGGCGATCCAATGTGTTGTTTTTGAATATAGACAAGACCAATGGTGTTACTGAAGAACATAATATATCATCCTGACTGGATCGAATGGTTTATAATGTGCAGTAAAATAGCTGATCTAATGTGACTGCAGTCCATTGTAACCCATTAATGGTGATTGACAGTGGTAGGAATGTCTATTAAGAATTTAAAACACAAGATGGAGAGCCTTACCACTGGAGTAATCTACTACCCACTCAAGAACTCAGTGTCATAAACATAGTGGGAGGAAATCAGTCTTAGAGTTTCGTAACAGCAGATCCAGGCTCAGAACTGTACAGCATTGTATGTCTCACAGTAAATACCTAATTATTGGCTTGGGACAATTAATAGAACTGTTACATTAAATGTAGCCTGAAGTTACTCTGATTTCCAGTGAGCCATGTGAAATTTGATACAGCTTTAACATAATGTTCATTTGTCTTGTTAAACCAAGCTGTAGGCGTAAGCTGCAAATGACATGTGCTTTGTCAACAATTGGTTATTTCAGAGTCAGATCTCAGTGTATAGTTATAAAGAGCACACATTTTGCAGCACATCAATCATGTAGAGCACATATGTTTGCAGATTTCAATATAGACTGCATTTCTTTAAACAAAAAAATATATATAGTAGGTCACTTAGTGCTCTATATGTGTGTGTGCCTGTGTCCATTACATATTCATTTTGTAGTTTTCTTCTGTTTCAACCCTCAAGGGCTCCAGTTCTTCTAATAAGGTGAATCCTGACCTCTTCCATGTAGTTTTCTGCTGAGTGTGCTGGGTTTTCCTGAAAATGCTTTGCGTTTGTATGTGCGGGTAAATGTATGTGTGGAGGAAGTGTAAATATAAAAGGTTAAAGGAGATTAAGGAAAAACAGAGGTGGAATCATTCCTTGCATTTACGCCTTGTCTCTGCGTTCGTTTGCTGCACAAGCCTGCAAGTTTGTTGCCGCGTAGGGGGTGGTAATCAATATCGTAGGGAGAAAGAAAGGTCTCTGTGAAGTTGAAGGCAGGTAAAAGCATGCAAATGTCCATGCTCTTGGCATAGTGCATGTTTGCATGGATCTAATAAGTGCAGAGAAGTTGGAAAGATGACAGAGGTGGAAAGATAATAATTAACATTTTTGAATGCTCCCTGCAGCCATGTAAAGACACTTATGGTCTATCATGTCCATCTCGCTGTGCCATTTAATACAGTGTTGTTTCTGATTTCATACATCTCCTTCTCACAACTTACCAAATATGTTCCTGTCTTTTTAATCCACTCCTCTTCTTTCTTTTCTCCCTGTGCATCTTTCCTTGCTCAATCTCACTTCATCCGCCTTATGACAGCTTCGGAATTGCAATCAATACACTAGCTGCACCCAGCTGGGAGACTTTTACCATCTGTATCTATTGGACCGGGTGTCAGATAGCATGAGGGACATTGTCTGTGCAGTAGAATGATTGTCATGGCAGGCTCACTTAGCGTTGATCCACTGTTCCATTATTGTGCTGAATGCTGTGACCGTTCAACTGTGTACTGCAGGTAGCAGACACACAATTAAATGCCAGCAACATTCAGCTAACTGTGTTGGTATTTGCTATGAAACCAGGCCGATTTCTTCAGAGTACAAGACACTTGATGCCCACACGTTTGACGCCTACTTGTGGATGGCCGATAGTGTTTATGTCAAAAAGAAGTAGGTCAAAGCTGCTGATTGATAGTAAATGAAGGCAAGGATGCAGGGCAAGACAGAGTGGGAGGACTTAGTCACTGCACAGAAGTCTTGGAACCATGGAACGTTGAAGGAAGGGATGTGCATGGCTCATAGGATGCACGCACAGGCACACACACTGAGAAAATGATGGCAATATGGGTGATTTTTGAGTCACTGTGGCTTTGGGAAATAAGAGGCAAACACTGTTGCCTTTTGCTGAGGATATGAGCCTTTCCTCTTGTTTTTTTGTTGTTCATTTTGAAGTTTTATTTATTATGTGTTTTTCATTTGAGGCCAAGAGAAATCGACTCTTTATCACATTTTCTGTAAATTCTTTGAACTTATTGGTTTCCCATCAAACACAGTTTATCTGTCACGGACCAAATTTGTAACTACAACACTGCAATATCTTATAGTCAAAAGACGTATTTAAAGAAATATTTTGGCTTGGGTTTTTACAAGTTGAATTCATTGGAGCACAGCCAGTATGCAGTTTGCAATACAAACTTTTGATTTCATCTCTCTTTTATCTTTCTGCACCAGTAATCACAGGCTTCAGCTGTACTTTGCGATTTAGTCACATTATGGCCTTGTGAGAGCTAAAAAGCAAAGAAATTTCCCTACAGATAAGCTGTTCAGATCCAAAGCACATTTCTGGAAAACCTTTTCTTCCACACTTTGACTGATGTTCTCCCTTAAGTGGTTCGTTGATGTTGACAAACTAGCAACCCAACAAAGAAAACATAATGTTTGGAAGACGATGAGAACAGAGTGCTTCCCAGGCCGCTGGCTTCAGGGAGCTGAAGGTAGAGAAAAAAGAGGAAGAGAGAGTCTTGGCACAACTCTTAATGGAGGCAGGCACTCATTTGTCATCCTAAGTAGCCGAGTGTTCTTTTAATATGCTTGGGCACAGAGGCGTGCACATCTGTATGTGTGCAGTGAGAGAGGGAGGGAGATTAAAGATGAGAGAAAGTAGGTCAAAAACCCATGTAGGACACTGTGTCACTATGTATGAGAGGATGTATCAGCAGCATCATAGCCTTGGTCTCACCCAATCAAGGTTGGTTGAATCACATAGTAAAAAATAGCAGTTGTAAGACCAGCCTTGTGCTTTTCCAGCAGAGCATGTTTGTGCGCCTAAAAAGTCACAAAAACACTAAGACCATGTTTCCAAGACAGTGGGTCAAAAGATAATCTTCTTTTTTTTTTTTTTGGTTCTTTATTTTCATATATTCAACATACAGAATATGGTATTTTCTCATCAAAGTCCTTTACTTGGAGTGTGACGATCTGACGCCAGGAGCTAAACTGTTTACTCAGCGCTCGGTGCTGCGAGGGGTAAAAACAACACTAACCACTGTCACAGTGGTTTCTGTTGACAAAAGGGGGGGGGGGAAAGCTCACATATGCTTTACGTACACACTGGTTAGAGTATTGCTTGAGAGCAGAAGCCTCATGCCACAAGGAGTTTTGTGACCTAGAAAGGAACATCTTGGTGCTGGAGATTGTCGTTGGAGGTCAGAGTTAAAAATGTGCTGCTTCACTTCAGCGATGGATTGCCAGTGATGGATAGAAGAAGACAAGTGGGCAGCAGAGACGCAGCGGTGGAAGGATGCTAGCGATTACCCATCAGGTGCCCGCTGTGTGCGAAGCAGAACATTCAGAGGCCCCCCACCACACACGCACACAGAGAGTCACATCTTGATGTGCGTCTTTGCCCTCTATCTACTCTGACAGGGTGGTGATGGCTTAGAGCGAATGTCACCTGTCAGTGACAACAGTCGCAATCAAAAACCTCACACACAAACACACGCCTCTTAGAAACAGCAGTGTCTTATGTTTTCATCGTATGTTGTGTTCACATCACCTGGCACGCTCTGTCTAGCCTCCTAAAAAAATAGTAAAGAGAAAATAAAAATAGAAATGTCTGCACCTTCATACTTGTGTGTGTTTACTTGACAAACAAAGACAGGCATACCTTAACACACACACATAAAAACAAAGAATTTCCTGTATGCACAGTGACAGTGATGTCAATTTAAGCATGCATAGACTTAGGCAGACAGCGTTATCTTGTTTGTGAATGGAATATAGGACAACAGCGAAAAAGGTCAGTTAGTCAAGAGTATCAAATCCAGGTCACAGTCAGTCGTGGGCTTCAAATGCCCAGATACTAATAATTAAAACTGATTGAAAGGGGCTGAAAACAAGGGGAAGACAGTATATAGTGGCTGGCCAAGCTGAAATTGCTGGTGTTCAGTGGTCATAGCGTTTACAATCCAGAGAAGGGACAGATGCTGTGATGGTGGAGATTGATGTCTGCTAGGCTGTTTTGAAGTGATGGGTGAAGCACAAGTCAGTGCATGCCAAGAGGAGTTTGCTTAGCAGAGGACAAAATCAAGCTTAAGATGTCAGCACTTGACTAAGTAGCTGGATATAAACATATTTTATCTGAAAAGGTTTAGCAGGTTTCATTATTGTGTTATAAATACTCTCCAAACAAACTATTTTTACACACAAATTTACTTACTCATTAAATATTTTCCTTTTATTCAAACAGCCTTTTCAGTTTATTGCATCATTGATTGTTTTTGTATAACAGCAGAACTAAAGGCGCTGTGGTTGCTGTCATCCTTTCTTTCTCTTCATGTTCTGTGTTAGAGTCTCATGGAGTTTGGCAGAGTGTGTTATGCTATCGGTCAGCTGCAGAAGTAATAATTCGTGAATCGAGTATGAACATTTATCAAGTTGTTCACTAAGTTACAAGAGTATGAGCATATGTGTATTTGGGAATTTGTGCATCCACATAGATGAAGTCTGTGTGTGGGTGGACGAGTAAATGAGGATAGAGAAGGATTTTGTTTTCCTTTTTCCTTACTGAGGACAAGGAATAATCAATCTACTTTCATTAAACAAGATAATATTTTAAAATTATTCTAAAAAATTATCAATTTGTCTGATTTCTTTACCGTCTTGCCAACCCCAGCTGGGCTGGTTAAGAGAAACCTGGACACTGAGATTCACCCTTACACCCTTACCTAGGGCTAATTTAGTATGACAATGATTGTGGGAGAAAGCAGGAGTTTCTAAATGAAAACAGGGAGAACAGCCTACTAGGAGCTTTGAACCATGAGCCTGTGGGTTTTGAGGTGCAGTGCTAACCACTGTACCACCCTACGACCCTTGGCTTTCATCATTACCTTTAGGGCAAAATTTTAAACCTGTGCTTGGAGATTGAATTGAACAAACCTTGTAGAGACTTGATCGTGACAAATAAAATATTGTTTCGTTTCTGTTTCTTTGCCTTTGATACCATGGCATGCTTGTGTTTGGAAGCCACACTCCTGAACAGACAATTACAGTGGAATACGCATAACTATGAATGGCATACACAGAAACATTACTAGAAAACACTGAACACTGTAAAACAGATTTTGTACATTTATTATAAATTTCGTCTGAAGAAAAACAAGCAACTCATGTCATATCGCTGTAATTAAATATACTAAATATATATACATATTTACACTGCACTTCTAAAAACAGTTTTTATTTTTTCCATTCGATGTGAAGAGCAACAAAATTATATGCACACCCACGTCTGCATACATGCAAGTTCTTCCTTTGCTGAGGAATTCTCTGAAGCATTTCCGCATCTATCGTGTGATCTTACTGAGTGTCCCCTCAACTCACGAGCATAAACACTTTTGACGGCGCCCATTCTATATTGCACCCCACTCATGAATATAGTAATTAACCCCTCTGTGACCTTGTTGCACCTCGATGATGTTGTCATTCTTGTTGAAGGAATAACTTTCTTCTTCTGTAACATACTTAGCTGAAGCCAAAACAAGGGCTTTGCATTGCAGCAGGTTTTCAGAGTTTTTGGAAATGGAGTGTGGCTTATCCTGGAGGTCCTGACACGATTTCCTCTCGTAGAATCAGTTCACAGTTTGTTTGTTTGAAACTGCGTTGCTGTTTCACAGCTGTGCCGATGTTGGTTCGGTATTCAGATGGGTGCGTTGTGATTCAGGTGAGCAAGATGTGAAGCATGTAATCTACATTGGGGGGGTGTCAGGTGTGAGATCTCGTCCATATCTATGCAGGTCAGAGGCAGAATGAAGAAAGGTTTTGATTAGTCGGCAGGTTAAAGCAGGAGTATTTATAGTTGTTGCCTGTTGCACATTGTCAAAATACCCAGGCTAGTGCAATGTTATTCTGCGATATGAATGGCGAAGACAATAGTAGTGACTAATGATGTTGGACAACGACTATGATGAGTGTGTCCTGTGCTTTGGGCGCATTGGTGCAAAATTACCAAGTAGTTAAAAACAAATCCTGCTGAATGCAGTGGCTGCTGCCTACAAAAAATTGCTGTGTACTTGCCTTTTAAAGAGATGCAGTGTGCACACTCCTGCCTGAGCTCCACAATTTCTTCTCTGCCCTGTAGAGTCGATCTACTTGCACTTTTCAAATCATTTTCCACACCTAACGTCTAAACTGCTCCCTCTTCTCTGCTTTCTCTTTGTTTTTTTACAGTGCGGCAAAGGAGCAGAGAACTTTGACAAGTTCTTCACACGCACCCAGCCCCAGCTCACACCGCCAGATGAGCTGGTTATTGCCAACATTGACCAGGCCGAGTTCGCAGGGTTCTCTTTCATCAACCCCCAGTTTGTACACCCGTCGCTCAACAACAGCGAATGAGAAGGATGGGAAAACCTCTGTGAGGAACCTTTCTGCTCATCGCTACCCATTTAAACCAACCACCCACCTAACATCTGACTACCATTCAATCCTAATGTATTGGTGTTATTCCTAAGCAGGATTCTAGGGCATGCACATTTTGCCAGTATATATTTTGAATTGGAGAGGCTGTATTTGTCTACAATTTAAGAAATGTATTTCTCTGCGTATAAATCTCAATGGATTGAAGTTATATTCTACAGAAATAATTGGCAGGTTGTAAATTGTATCTACTTGGATAATCACAGTATGGATATTATGTGATAATCTGAGAAACACTCGTTAGGCAGTGTAGATGCTATAGCCAAATATGAAGGAGAGGCGGTGCAGGCGTTTAAACAGCACCTTGTTGTTCAATGTTTCCTGTATAATGTTTACAGTTTTTCTCTCCTTTGATTTCATGGTGGTGGTGTAAAATGAAATGTTTTTACAAATTGATTCTAGGCAGTCTCAACTTCCAGTGTGTGTGTAGCAAGCCAACTGAAGGATTAACGGTGAGGTCCTAAAACATATGCAGCCTGTAAACTATCAAAGTGTTGCGTCATTTTGGCAACAAGTTCACTTGGCTTTACTGTTATCAGCCACTTTGACCTGATTGTGACAAAAAATAATAGTTTTAGCTCCCAATCCCTTGTCCTTATTAAGCTTCAGCTTGTATACTTTCCTTGTGAATGATTTTGTGGACAGTATGCGGACACACAAGTTTAACAGTGGCAGTCTTATTAACCTACCTTGAAATCAAACCGTTTACAGTTTGTCATAGTCTAACACTTTTTAGAGTTAATCACTGTTTTGTCCCATGCTACACCCACAGAGCCTCACATTGGTCTTAAATGTTGTAACAGAGACTGTAAAGAAATTTTCAGTTGCTGAACACATAACATTTTGTATCAGTGTGCATTAACCATAAAATGTTTTATTGAATATGGTGTCATCAGCTTAAAAGCTGATAAAACACTGAAGTTCGATACAGAAATTTGATATCAAATTTGAAATCCTTTCCCGTTGCGTTGCTGTAATGAGAACAAACTTGTCTTTCATTTGGAGCCATTATTAGTTAAATCAGTTTTTGTTTTGGGGGTTTTGTTTTTACTGTTTTTACAGATTTGATCTCACTCTCATACCGTATTTTTCCATTATAGCAGAATAATATTTTAATGTACTTAAAACTGGTGTGCATCTGTAAATAATTGCAAGTTCTTTAAAAAGAAAAGAAAGTATAGCAAGTTACAGTTTTATACCAACACCTGAATGTGCTTTTATTACATCAGTTAGATAAGCCAATATTTGTATGTTAAAAGCCCAGTACAGATCAGCACTGTAACAGTTTCTTTAACAGAGTCCACATTTAGAAAGTTGTGAAACATTTGTTCTACTCTTTGTCTGAATTATATAAAATTCTTCTTTTAAAAAAATAATAATTTTTGAGCGATTTTGACTGCAAATTGTGTGTTGATTGGATACACGTCTGGCTGTTGACCGTCCCTTCGTATCTGCATGCTGTTGGTAGGCATCATTCATGCACGTGATACATTACGGTAAATGCTGCATGCTAAAAAAGTACGAAACTCCAAAGAAAAACAATGTCACAGTAATCAAAATCGTGGTTTACAGTAAGTACAGATCCACTTTAATGTTTTTACTGGTTTCTTAAAGAATGGTGACCGTGATTAGCTTAACTACATGCTGGCTAAAAAAAATCCTACTGATAGCACTTCACTCTTAATGGAACAAGTTGTCAAAATGTTAGTAGTAATGTCTCAATCTGCTCCTGCTTGCTCTGATTCTGTATGTGCTGTTTAGTACAAACTGTATTTTTCTTTTTTTTTCTTTTTTTTACAAAAATGCACTATTTCCATCTCAATTCGCCCACACAGCTCCAAACAAACCCACATTCAGCTTGTTTGTAGGTCTTGCCTTGTGAGTGTTAAACAATCAAAAGATTAGATAGTAAAAACAACGCGCTCCTTTCTCCTCTCTTACACCTTTTCCTTTACCTCAATCGAAAATGTCATGAAGTCAGGAAAAAAGGTTAAGGATAATCTGTAGGGACTTAGAGAAACAACAGTGGTGCTAGGAGAATGTGACCTCCACTAGCAGTTCATCTTAGAGAGACCACATCTGAAGTATGTGTATAAATGTGGATAAACCAGTAAAAGGTGTTACTTCATTACCAAGGTTGGATTTGTTCAATCCTACGAGTTTAACATATTGCTGAAATTTCAAAACACATAATTGTATTAGGAGGTTTATGGACAACACAGCAATGATTTGCAAGTGGTCTGCATCCCTTAGCAGCAATGTTGATTGTTAGCTTTCGAGATTTCTTTAGTAAAGGATTCTCTAGTGTATGATATGCCAAAGTAGAAAAGAAAGGAAGCAAGGAGGCACTGAAAAACCTTTCCTTTGCAGTCAGAGAATTCGACCATCTGTTATCGTGGTTGCTGTTTAAATAACTGGTCAAAAGACAATTTCACCAAAAACCAGATTTAAGGTGGGCCGTTACACATCCCTGCCGATTATTATCGCTGCTTAACTGAGAAAACTAGTCAGCTGTCTCAGTCATTCAGTGCAGATAGATTGGTGATTGTGAAAACAAGCTACAAGATCAACAGTGATTTGCCAAAAGAATGCAGATCACAGGATTTGAATGCTATCGAATAGACATTTATTATAGCATAAATGTAAATACATCTAGTAATAGCAGATAGACTTAAATTGCTTTTTAAATTCTTTCATGAGACCTAGTCGCTGTCACAGGGCTTAGATCAGTGCTGTCTTCTGTAGAAGCTTGATATACTGCATATATATTGTATAGATATATATATGCACGCGTATACACTCCCCGTGCTCCTTTTGCCTTTACCTAAGAGAATTTGGAACACAGAGTCCAGATCTTTGGTGAGTTTTGGCTTAGACACTCTGATAATTGGTAGATCAGTGGGGGGACCACACGCTCTCTAGTGTCTCATGAATGTTTATTATAATCTTAATGTTGTGTTGTTGTTGCTTTTTTTCCCTTTTTGGTTGTTTCTTTTTTTTTTTGCTCTCATTTTTTTGTTGTCAGTTTTATTTCTCTAGCATCTGCACAATTCAGGAATGTTTCAAAGGATATATCTCAGTATCATACTGCAAAGCTTATATCTAACTGACATAGATAGGATGGATATTGTTTGAATGTAATTGAACTTAATATTTTGTCAGTATTTTTGTCCGATCTCTCCTAGTTTGTTTCCCATCTTATACGGACATTTGCATGTGCCAAACCTGGAAAACACCGGAATTTGAAAATTGCAGCGTCGCACTAGCTGCGGTCACCAAAACAACTTTGTTTGGCAGCTTCTAAAGGCATACGCTGCTGTACAGTCAGTTGGCCACATTACAGTAGCATGCTAACACGAGTATACAGTGCACATTGTGTCAGTACACTTAACAATGCCAGTCGGTTTGATAATCAACTTATCCTGCACGTTGTTCCCTTTGGGCAGAACATTTCATTTGGTAGAGCGTTTGATATTCACAGTGAATTTCAGAGAAATGAGAGAAAATATTCCTTGTACATACTCAGAGTTTGCTCAGCAGCAGTCTTGCCCTTGTCTAAACCTAACTTGCACCTCTGTATGTGACAAGTGCTGACTTAATAGCCTAGCTTCATCCCTTTAATAGAATCTCTGTTGACTTGCTGTGTTTTCAAAATGTCAAGTCACAGTCGGTGTGGGCATAAAGATTATTCCTCCCTTGTGTGCCTTTCCCAGCTTGTACACCTATACTGTACATATTCTTTTTACTCTTTGTCTACCGTGTTCTAACCTGAAGTCTCTTTTCCATTTTTACTTCATATCACAACTCAGCGTCTCAGATCTTAATGTTAAATGTGTTTTCAAACTAGGTAATTAATAAAAATAATAATAATAATTCACACGAATGTAATTTTAAAGTTTTTTTTTTGTCACTGTCACAATAACCTTTAACTGTCTAAAGATTTTAAACTGGATTCATTCTTGCGTGTCTCCTACCTTTACCTCCCTGTGCCTATTTATGACTGTACAACATGGCGAATTAATTAATATTCTGTATCAAAAATATCAAAAGATTACGCTTGTTGATGGATGAGTGAAGAATGAACAGGTGATGAATTGGGTTAAGCCGAAATGAATGACAGGAGAGATGATAATTGCTCGTTTTGAAGAACAACCCCCGTGCCTCATCATATTGAACCGTCCCTCCTTTGTCCTCTCTTTGAATCAATCTGTAGTTCCTTCCTCAGTGCCTGGGCCATGTAAATCCATTCCTCATTGATAGTGTCCCCCACCTTTTAGATCCTAGGGTAGTGGTTATTGTATCACTTTGTGAGTCTGCACGTGTCATCAAGACTAAATGTGGTCCTGGGAACACCTACTCTAGTGGGAACTGCCACAAAAGCAGGTGAACACAGTAACATCACAACTTTACAGGTGTGTAGTTGGGATCAAACGCAGTTGTGGTCTAAACCATAAGTTCCCAAAAAAGATTAGAAGTAGGGGGGCAAGAGGCCCAGTGGCCCTGTCTGTTATCACGCCCCTATCAAACAGTCTTTTGTATTGTATATGTATTTGTAAATCACCATACGAAGAGTCGTATTTGGTGTATAAACTCACTACTTTCCTCTATGGGGCTAGTCCTACAACTCCTTGGTGCTGCAGCTGGTTTGATCCCATCACAAGTTGGTCTCTAGTTTCTAGTTCACGCAATTCACTCAACAGAGACGACATCAGCCCAAGACTTTTCAGTTCTCTCTGGGTTTGACTAATGCACCGCAGGAAAGAAATTAGCCAAAAGTATTTGTTCTTTTACATTTTTTACATGTCCTCAACTTTTTTTAATTTAGTTAGGGTTAGGTTTAAAGCTATGGTCATACAGCTGTTTCAAGATTTTATTTTAATTTATAGATTTTAATTAGTAATTCTGTCAGTCCTTTTCTGTGGATGAATCTGGTATGACGTCTTCTTTGTAGTTAGTCATCACTCTGCTGTTTCCTGCTCGATTTGAATTAAGAGAGTTTTAAGTAAACTATCCTCTTGGCCAATCAGAGCATAAGATCATGTGCAAAAATGCCTTATATCTTAATCCACAGTGTAACCAGTTCTCCCACTTTCCTCTGTTCAGTTATAATCTCTGCACCCCTGTCCTGTACATAAATGACTTAAATTAGATATCTACATAGACTGTAAAAGAAAGAACATATTGTATTTTGCAAATGGTGTATGTTTGTTATTTTTTTTCCCTTGTCAGCCTGAAACCTTTAAAATGAGTCTGAGCTACTTACCTTGTAATTGATTGTGTCATTTGTACCTAATGTATGATAATGCAAATAAAAAAAGAAAAATGAGGTCCATACTTACACAAGTGAATGTTTTTGTTACTGGCTTCTTTCAGACTTTGCATGAACTGTGTATTATTTCAAAATGCATTGTATTGTTGGGGTTTAGTTTATGTTTCTCCTCAGATGGAACACAAGCATGTTGGTCTATTTTGAGCAATGTGTCATTGGTGTCACATGATGTGTCTCTCTCACACACACACGCACGCACGCATGCACAAAATTGATACTGACCAATTTAGACAAAGTTTGAACTGAGTGTTGTTAGTGAGTCTGTGGCTTAATTTTATTTTTATATTTCCATCTTCTTTGTGTGTGAGTTTGTGAGTTTGTGTGTGTCAACTTCTGCAATGAAAAGCTGTGATTAATTTAATTAATTCTATGTGCTTTATTTGGCCGTTAAGTTGGCAAATATATATATATTTATATATATTAAA